CCAGTAGCCAGTAATTCTAGCGTAGCCTCCTCCCTAGTTCCTGATCGGCAGGCTCTATTAGAACCCCACCGCTATGGCGGTGCAGGCCGATCCCCCCACGGCTAATGACGAGTCTGATGCCCGGCCTATTCTAGTTGGCCTTGATTTTTTGCTAAGCTCCCTCGCACTCGAGAAGGCAGCACGGTCCACTCCGGATAAGGCCATCACCGAGAAGCAACCTGCATCACCGGTTATCTCTGCCTCTACCGAAGAGATAGGAACTGAAGAGACAGCTGCGGAACCTACAGTGGCATCTGCCTCGCACCATCCCAGTCAGACCACGGCGCGCACCATCCGCTTGAAGCAGGCAACTTTGAGCTTTGCCAAGGCTTCCACGTCGACTGCCGACGATGACATGGAACCCGGGCCTTCAATACGGCCGCGTCCTTGGCTCAACATCAACCTAAAGCAACACATTGCAGATGTCTACGAGGATGCGGTAGACAAGTTCAAGACGCAATGGGCGTCTCGATATCCTTGGCTTGTGATTACGAAAACCTTCACGGGGTTGCCTGCGTTCAAATGTACTGTTTGTGTAGCACATGCAGGCGATGCAGGCAAGTGCGGGAGGCGTGGAAAAGGCGCCACCGACGTGCAGACACAGTCGTTTTGCAAGCACGCCACCACCTAGAAGCACAAGCTGGCGATGGCAAAATTTACGGCACTGCATGAGCAAGGGACGAGGCAGCCGCTGATCGACCAACATCGCTCCACTGTTGATGAGGAGAAGCTGCGCGTTAATGTCCTTCTCGACTCGCTGTTGTTCGTGAGCAAGTCCGACGCGTCAATGGGGATGAGGGTAAAACTTGTCCGGTACCTGGCATAGAAGGGCGTGAAAGGCTTTCTGAAGAAGGGATACGGAACCTACTACACCATGTAAGTGCAACAGACTAAATTTATGTCGGGACTGTACACATGTACTCGTTTACATTTTACTAATATTTGTTATTCCTCTGCACATACGGCTTCGGCGAGTTAACACAAGCTACTGCAACATGGCTACAAACTACACAGCACGAGCATATGCTGGCGTTGCCCTTCCTCGGCATATCGATTGACGAGAGTACGGATCAGTGCAGTGGGAAGTATCTGATCCTCTCCATCACCTTCGTCCAAGAAAACAAGGTCGTTACCGACTCTTGGGGTGCTGCTGTACGTTGCCGATCAGCGTGACTACAAGCTTCACTCTCTTGACTTAAGCACAGCTTTCTTACACGACAGCATGCACAAGGAGATCTGGCTGCGCCGCCCACCTGGCTTCACTGGGTCGTTTCTTGCAGGTAACCACTGGAGCCTACGGCGGCCAGTCTACAGCCTCCGCCAAGCGCCTCGTAAGTGGAACGACACACTGAGGAAGACACTTGTGGCTCTTGGGTTCGCTCCTTTGACTGCTGACCCGTCGCCGTTTCTGCGCACTAACACTTCGCTGCCGCCATTCTACATCCTCGTGTACGTCCACGACTTGGACTTTGCCACTGCTGACACTGAGGCACTGACTCTAGTGAAGTCCGAGCTACAGAAGAGACACACGTGCACAGTCCAAGGTGAACTGCGCAACTATCTTGGCTTGCAGATCACTTGGGATAGAGCACGGCGCACCATCACCCTAACTCAGTCACACATGGTGCAGCAGGTCCTTCAGCGCTTCGGCTTCACTTGGTCCTCGCCACAGTCCACTCCTTTGCCTACCGTCACTCGCTCTCAGGTCCACCTTTGGATGAGTCTGTGGAAACGAGTGGCCCGTATCCAGAGCTTGTAGGCTGCCTCATGTACCTCTTGCTTACCCTTTCAGCATCCTGGCACGCTACGTTGCGCCCGGGAGACACAGATGAGAGCACTAGGAGGCCGCTAAGAGGGTGTTACGCTACTTCTGCAGTACGTCGGGCATGGGGCTCGTGCTTGGAGGACGGAGTCGAGTTGTTCTCACAGGCCACGCTGACGCGTCTTGGGTTGACGGCTGGGCTACGCAGCGGTCGTCACAGGGTTACACTTTTAGCCTTGGCTCCGGTTCTGTTTCTTTGGTGGTCTACCCGCTCGTCTTCAGCTCTCAATTCCAGTTTCTTGGCTGAGATCTACGCAGGAGCCATGGCTGCACAGGAGTTACGCTGGCTCACCTACCTCCTGACCAACTTGGGAGAGCGGCCTAGTTCTCCTCCAGTTCTGTACGTAGACAACAAGGCCATGATTGCCTTGTGTCAGGAGCATAGACTGGAGCATAGGACGAAGCACATCACTCTGCGTTACTTCCTTGCTCGAGAGTTGCAGTAGCGTGGTCAGCTTTGTCTTGCTTACATGGCCTCTCAGGCCAACACTGCTGATATCTTCACCGAGGCACTTCAGCCTTGTGATCATCAACGTTTCTATACTGTTTTAGGCCTTCTGCCTACTTGGCCTCACTTGCTTACTTCTTGATTTTGCTTGTAGTGTGATCTATATACTTATACCTGTATGCTTACACTTGCTAGGTTTTGATCACTATACTGCTTGTTCTCATTTTATAACTCTGCATGTGAACTGGCCTTGTGGCCATTTGCTTGTGCTCAGAGTGTGTGGTGACTTCGTGATCCACCCCGAGCTTGCTTTGCCTTTGCTTGACTGGTCTTGTGATCCCTTGTCTCCCCCACTTTGCCTATGGGGGTGTGTCAAACTTATATGTTGCATGTTGTGTAGGCTATAGTGGGGTAGCCCATATGGGGTACAACTCAATTAAGGTTAGTACTTGTACCCATCCTGCTACTAGTTCATTCATTCCTACTCAATAGTTTTTGACAGAACATCCTCAATAGGGCGTTCCAACACAAGGAGGTGAGATTTTTTACCAGAGTGATTGCTCTGATTTGTTAATAACTACTACTCTACGTACTTGATGTGAGTTGTATGTTTCCTTCACTAACTACTTTCACTTGTTCTTTTCCAGCTGGACTACCCTAGCGTGCATGCGCAGATTTCGCGGACAACATTCCACATTGAAAGCCGATACGTTGATTGCGGCGACGACTTCGGAGGCGGCCTTCGCGAGTGGCTTTCTCCCTTCCTCATGCGTCATGGGCCCAGAGGAAAGAGGGAGGTGACGGTAGAGGGTGTCGATTGTGACGGCCTCCCATCAAGCTTCCAATTCATTCTTCATGAGGACGAGTTGGAGGACTTCGATGCGCCAGGGACCCACGATGTCTGCGTAGATGTCTGCACGCAATTTGCCGAGGTTACAGTCCACAACCTCCCGCATCGGCTTGGCGACCTGGAGGTGATGTCAGGGGCGAGGCTCTTCACCCCTGACGAGTGGCCGCTGGACCGGGGAGAGAGAAACATGAGGTGCCTCAAGTGGCTGGAGTCGCTAATCACACTGTTCAAGGCCGACCAGACAGATGAGATCCTGTCAAGTAAGCCTTAATAGCACCCGTTGTGTACCGTATGGCCCCGGATAGAAGCGCAGGCCTATGTTAAGCGCATGCGCTTGTATCTGGAGCAATGCGCTTATGGCCGATCCTCAATTATAAGCGCACCCCTTATAAAACCCTGATTTATTATAAGCGCATGTATAAACATATTTCAAAAAAACGGATTATAACAGTAACGACTTCCCGTTTTGAAGCGAGTCCACATCCACTTCTACTCTGTTTGACTCCCTCGAGGGCGGGCTCGCTCAGGAAAAGCGCAACAGCGCGAAGTTGACCTGACAGGGGGGCTCGGGAACACCTGTTGTCTGTGCGCTGCGAGCGAGCGACTGCAGGCTACTGGTCGTATACTGGGGCAAGCCTGTGCGATGCGAACGAGCGACTGCAAGCTATTGGTTCGTACACTCTGATGGGGCGAGCATGACACATTCCTATGCGGAAGTGACGTGTCCTTGCCCTTGTGCGCCAGCAGAGAATCGCCCTCGCGAGATTCTGATTTAGAACGCTCCACACATTTCGATTTGAATGAAATGCACAGATTGGTGCGTTTATAACATATTTCTGTGTTTGTTATTATATAAGCGCATGCGCTTATAATTTTGACTCATTTATAAGCGCACCCCCCTAAAAAACACTGTTTTATTATAAGCGCAGATGCGCTTCTATCCGGGGTATTACGGTATGTTTGCTAACTAAAAGCTGTGATGTTGTTGCATGTGTTTATGTGGTACACCCTTCAGTGTATATGCCATCTTGCTTGTTTCTGCCCCAACCAGGCATCAACAAGCGCCATGCGGTGAAGGAGCTGCGCATGTTCACCTCGGTGCTTGCGGGCTCCAACAAGCACGAGCGCAGCTTCCACGCTGGTCTCACTGCCATGCTCAAAACATCTGACTGGCGGGACAACTACCCCAACCTCGTGCTCTTGTGGGTGGCGGTAGCTGTTCTGCCGCTGAGCACCGTGGAGTGCGAGCGGGGGTTCAGCAGGCAGAACATCACCAAGTCGTGGCAGAGGGGTTCGTTGAAGGACGCACGGCTTGGGGACCTGATGTGCAAGAGCCTGATGGATTATGAGCCTTACTGGGAGGAGATTCTCACGATCTGGAAGAGCTACATGAAGTGCAAGCCCCACAGCAACGCTCCCATCCCAGCAGGAAAGCACCAGAGCACCAGGGGGCCAGTAGATGAAGAGATGGCAGTGCGAGTTGGTGATTTAGGAGATGCTACTGCTGACGCCTGTGACTCTGAATGTGATGATGGTTTCAGTGACTAGGATAGGTTAGATATACTAGATTTAGAATAGCTTAGGTGGTGATGGAGCTAGTCTAGTAGTAGGATGATAGGATGTATGCGTGTTTTGCGACGTAAGAGTTCAACTAGTCAATAACAGACACCCAACTCAGAACTATCAGACTTTTAACTGGTACCAACTCTGAATGGTATCAGACTATTAATTTTCAGCTTTTTTTTTGTACATACCGGTACTCTGATTGATCAGACAATAATAGTGTACCGGTACTAAGTCTGACTAATCAGACAGCCCAAAAACGAATCTGAAGGCTTGCTCTACAACCATACAACATTGGATATCATTATAGTAGTGATGCTTCTGCCTAATGCGGTCACAGGCAGAGTCTGCGGCATTTCAGTGAGACTATCGGTGGAAACCACCTCTGCATCCTCGCTTTCAGACGTCCGTTGCACCTCCACCACACACGGGCTTGCCCCGTCCATCAGCCCAAAAAACTCGAATTTGAATGAAATACTGTAGTCCCCACCATCCTGGTTCACTATATAGATAGAGATGAAGTTCTTATCGGGGTTGAAGAACGACGCAATGCAGTGGTGGCACCCGTCGCTCGTGTCTATTCTCAGCGGCACACTCCCTCGCGGCGACGCCCGGGCCATCTGCTTCATCATGTAAAACTTTTTTGAAAACGTCATTTCCAGCGGAATGACCGTAGGGTCCGAAACACCGTTGTGCTTTATCGTAAGCAGCCCCCACCGGAACGAATTAGGGTTTGTAGGGAGGTCCGGAGTGATCGGCTGCCAGTAAATCCACGCCGAAGCACCCATGATGTTGATCGCTTGGATCGCCGATCGCATCATGAACAACCCCACGTCGGTGTCCTCCCCTCCCGCCCACATCGGGCCGATCTCCGACACCCACACCTCCTTCCCCACGCCCATCCCCACCCGCGCCAACCACACATAGAGCTGCTCTATAAACTCCCTGGCATCCGTTGTGGTGGGCGGCGGGGGGACATACCCATGCACGGAGATCCTTTTCAGGCTGGATAGCAGCTGCCCGGTCCATGTCTTTGCGTTCCGCACCGTGAACCCGACGAAGCTATCAAACCCCGCAACCTGCGTCGGCAGCTTCTTCCGCTGCAGCGCGCGCGCCACGGCCGTGCAAAGCCGCTCCAGCTGAGCCGCGGTAAACGTGCACCCCTCGTGCTTCCCCCCCTGCTGCCACCACCCTTCCAGCGGCTCATTCGCCGGATTCATCGTGCTGAACGTCACGTTCCACTCCCGCCGGAAATAGTCCACTATGGTCGCTAGATACTCGGCAAACTCACCGTACCTATCTGGTGAGAGGTTCGACGCTCCGCCCACATTCCCCGCGGTGTCCCCACTGATGGTCATCCACCAGGGCGGAGAGTACGCAATCGCCTCTACCTCATCTACACCGCGCTCCATCGCTCCTTTTAACACTTTCCGCTGCCGCCAGTCCGCCGCCCAGTCGTACGGGCCGGCCTCGGTTGGCTTGTAGCCGGGGAGGTTGACCTGGTGAAAGGTGTCTTTGGTGAGCTGCGGGCTGTTGGTGGCGTTGAAGCTGGCGCCCAGCAGGTAGCGAGCGAGGTTGAACCCGATTCCCGTGGACGGTGAGAAGAGCAGGTCCAGCAGCGTGGTCAGCTGGTCGTCCGGTAGCTTGCCAATGTAGTTGGCAGTCCTGGGGGATGGGGAGGGGCAGGGGTAGGGCAGGGGGAGGGCAGAGGGAGGGCAGGGGAAGGGCAGGGAGAGGGCAGGGAGGAGGCAGGGAGAGGGCAGGGAGAGGGCAGGGAGAGGGCAGGGAGGAGGCAGGGAGAGGGCAGGGGGGGCTTAATCTGAGGCTCAGTATGAGGCTCTGGGGGGTGTGAGAGGAGCGTGGTGAGCTGATCGGCAGGCAGCTTGCTGATGCAGTTGGCTGTCCTGGTGTGAGGGCAGAGGAAGGAGTGGGGGAAGAGGGGGGGGTGGGGAAAGGGTGTTGTCGAGGGATGGGCTTATTTTGAGGCTCTGGGAGGGCGAGGAGAGCAGGTCGAGGGGAGTGGTAGGAAGGGGCAAGGCTGGGAGGGCAAGAGGCAAGCCACGAGTTTGTGGGGTGGGAGAGGGTGAGCGGTTGAGATGGATGGGAAATAAGTGGCCTAGGTTCTTCGACCGTGGGGGTCGAACGGACAAGAGAGAGGAAGAAGCGAAGGGGGTGAAAACGGAATGGCAGGGAGAGAAGAGCAAAGACGCAGTGTCAATAGCGTGCAGTGCAGCCACATTGTCATGCACTCACAGTGTCATGCACTCACAGTGTCATGCACTCACATTGTCATGCACTCACATTGTCATGCACTCACATTGTCATGCACTCACATTGTCATGCACTCACAGTGTCATGCACTCACATTGTCATGCACTCACATTGTCATGCACTCACAGTGTCATGCACTCACATTGTCATGCACTCACATTGTCATGCACTCACATTGTCATGCACTCACATTGTCATGCACTCACAGTGTCATGCACTCACATTGTCATGCACTCACAGTGTCATGCACTCACAGTGTCATGCACTCACATTGTCATGCACTCACATTGTCATGCACTCACATTGTCATGCACTCACATTGTCATGCACTCACAACGCCGTACACAGTGTTTATCCTGCAGCCATCATGCAAAACCACGAATGATCATATCGCACTCACCGCTCTCTCGCACTCACCACTCTCTCGCACTCACCACGCCAACGACGTGCCCCAGCCTCTCCAGGTCTGCCCACTGAGATCCGGACTGATGGTGATGCTGGCTGGGCCTGGCAGACGGAGACGGGGAGGAGGGGGGAGAGGAGAAAGGGGGAGAGAGGGGAAAGGGGGAGAGAGGAGAAAAAGGGAGTGGGATGGGGTGAGGGGGTGGGGAGGGGTCATGCAAGCCTGGACCTGGAGTCGTCTGTTCACATATGACGTCTGGACTGATGGTGATGATGGCTGGGCCTGGCGAGGCAGGGGAGCGAGGGGAGGGCGGAAGGAAGGAAGAGAGCGAGAGACGGGAGGGGGAGGTAAGGGCACAGTTGCGGTCAACAGTGAAGGTCATGCTGGCTGGGGGTGGCGATGAGGGAGAGAGGGGGAGTGAGGGGGGAGGATGATGGCCATGCAGGCAAACGGGAGTGGGGAGGGGGAAGACGGGAGTGGGGAAGGGGAAAACGGGAACGGAGAGGGGGAAAACTGGGGCGTAGGGAGAAGAGATGGGAAGAGAGGGAAGGTTCAGAAGAAAGGGAAGAGTACAGTTGAGGTGGATTGATGGCCATGCCACGTGTCATGCTGTCATTCCACACTTTCCTGTGCTGTCACCACACCAACTTGCTCCCCCCCACAGCTTCTGCCATGCCATGTGTGCGAGGGTAAGGAGTCTCAAACATAACCGAACCTTCTCCGCCCATCTCAACCCATCTGAACCCATCACCCACTCACCACACCTCCCATCACCTCACATCACACCTCATCACCGCTCATTACCCCCCATCACCGGCAGTCACCATGCGAGCTCTACCAGCGGAGCGGCACACGGTGATCACTTCATTCGGGGGGGTGAGAGTCGACGCCGCCGCCGCCGCCGCCGCCGCCGCCGCCGCCGCCGCCGGCTCCGCTCCTCCCGGGACCCCCGTTCCTCCCATCACCCCCGCTACCCTCGCTACCCCCGCTCCCCCCGTTCCCCCCGCGCCTTCCGCGCTGCCCTCCGCCTCCAGCGGCGCCCACACGGTGCTGGCGCGCCACTTGTTGCGCGCCACGTCCAGCAGATCGCCCCGCGTCGCCGTCTCAGGCTCGTCCCCCCCGCCACCGCCGCTGCCGCTGTCGCTGTCGCTCAACGGAGTGGACGCGCTGGCGTGCGGGGGGGAGTCGAGCGGGTGGGAGGGCTGCGCGGAGTGCAGAGAGAGGTGGTTGAAGCAGGCGGGGTCGAGGAGGGCGGGCGGAAAGAGCTGCGGAAGGAGCGCCTGCAGCGCGCACGGGTCGAGCTCCACCTCGCGCAGCGGCGGCGCTGGCGGCGGCGGCGGAGGCGGCGGCGAAGGCGGGTTGACGCGAGCAACCGTCGCGACGCCCGCGGCGGCGATGCTGGGTTGCTGCTGTGCGACGAGCAGGCGATGCGACGGGGAGCGTGTCGCGTGCGACTGTTCTGCTCGTGACAAGTCGCCGCCAAGAGCGTCTGAATTGTCAAGGTCGAGAAACGGGTGTAGCAGCGACCAGGCGGTACTAGGGAAGTCGGCCGAGCCGTGATTTGACGATGGTGGCTCATCGTCGCGTGATTCCGGCTGGTGAAAAGATGAAAGGGCGAACCGGGCGGACGGTAGTAGGGACGACGCGGGGTTGGCGGCGGAGGCGGCGGAGGAGGCGGAGGCGAGAAGCAGCACGCAGCACGCGGCGGATAACGAAGCGGAGAGGCCGGAGGCTGCAAAGATGGAGAAGCCGCGTGAGGAGTGCAGGGGGAGGCTGTGAGGCGGAGCCATGTACGCCCGTGACGGTCGTCTGCCCCGCTGTCTATCTGTAACTGTTTCAGGCCACATTATATCATGGGTTCGCCGTCTATAGCGCGTTTCAGGCAGGCTTAATTAGGAGGCACCATCCCACGTGTGCGTGTCCGAGCGATTCTCGGAGTCAAAGCGTGTGGTTCAAAGAAAAGCGTTTTTGTGCAAAAGCACATCGCAAGAAACTCAACACGTTGCTCGCAGGTCAGTGTGGTCTGGGCTGAAGCACCACCGCTGTATCTCAAGACCTTCGGATGTTCGGTTTGGAGGAATCCATAAGGGCGTATAAACTCGGGAACAATCCGTCGGCCATTTTTGCAAAGGTAACGAGTCCGCGACAATCGTCAATTGAGTGGAGACAATCTCAAAATTCGCAAAAACATAACGAATTGGATGGCCGTTCAAAAATGTTACGCATAGTAATACTTGAATATTACCGTGCACTCCTCACCGCAGCAAAGAGAAGCACGCAGTATCGCGAATGAACGCGAAGCGTCAGACGGTTGGAACGCATCTGAACCGTCGGAGCAGACAGCATCAGGCAGCTGCAGGCAGGATGGTTTCGGCGGGAACAGTTTCGTAACTGTTCGCGCCGCACAGTTGGGGATGTATTTGAATAAGGGAATGTACCCCTTAGAGTACATGGCTAGCTAGGTCGATTCATATTCCCCTGTACCCTTATTTATATCGTTGTATTTGCATGTCTTAATCATCTCAAGCATTTACATTCACTCTGCTATTGAGGTCAAGGGCCCACCAACACCACTTCTCTGTGTGCGAACCTTCCTGAGTAGATCCTAGGCCACGATCAACTTCTGATCGCAGCATGGTATGAGAGCGACTCAAGAATCCTTCGCACCGCCATCTCCGAAGTCTGCAACATTCGGAAAGTGGCGTCCGGCACACGATCACGTGTAAGAATGGCCGGAGGATCTGGAGGTCAGACAAATCTGACGGCTGAAGCGCAGACCAACCCGGCTGCGACAAACGAGGAAACGACGACGATTCCCTCCGCCGTCCTCGCACAACTGCTTCAGCAACTCACGAGCCTGAAGCAAGGGCTCCAGACATTGCGGAATGGCGATGCGGGAACTTCTTCCCAACCCACTCAACCGGCCCCAAACGGCCAAAACTCCGCCCCGCAAGGCTTCTCCCTAGATACGAACGGCTCAACCCCCAAGACTCCCTGTCCCAGCGATGAAGCAATTCTCTCCGCGCAATCAAGGTTTTTGAGCATATCAAAAATAAAGACAAGTGTGTGCTTTGACGGCACAAACTTTTACACCTGGAGCTTCGAGCTGCAGCTACTGCTGCAAAACGCGCAGATTTATCATTATTTCGACGGGAGCTATTCGGGACCTGCTGAGGACACCGACGACGCAAGGACTCGCTATTATAACGAGTCCCTGATGGCGTACGGGATTCTTCTACGTAACATGTCGCCGGCGGAGCAGGTGAACATTCGTTCATACAAGACATCGAATGCCCCAGCCCTCGACGCTTGGCGCCACCTGAACGGCGTGTATCAGCCCAAGGACTCCGTCTCCTCGAGCCGACTACTCCAGCAACTGCTGGAAACTAAGATTACGTGAGGGGAGAAGGTCAACAGCTACATCAACCGCTGTCGGAGTCTTCGCGATCAAATCGTGAAGTTGGGAAGCTCGATTTCCGAGGAAATCTTCGTGAATATTGTGCTTCAAGGGCTTGGCCCAGAGTGGCGGCCCTACAAGGCGCTCCTCCGACAGCAGGGGGTCATCTTGAAGGCCGCCCTTTGCGCCGCCCTTCTCGTCGAACAACGCGATATGGATCAGCAGCGACCAGCGCGACGACGAGAACGCGAACGGCTCGCCTTCTACGCCGACAACAACGAAGAGCGACGACCGCGGCGCCTCTACTGCAAAATCTGCAGAAACTTCGGGCATTTTGCGGATCGATGTAAGTTCCGATCTCGCCCTCGCCAGACCAATCCAAGCAACTGGTCCGGCCGACAAGACGCACGAGGCGACGTGCGTCCAGCCCAAGGGTATCAACCCCCACCCGCGCGCAATCAGAACTCAACCGTTCAGCATCAGCAGCAGCAGCCATCAACTGCCCCTACGCACAACGTCATAAGCAACATGGCCATGACAGGCGAGTCACGTCGTCGCCGTGCTCACGCACCCTCACTTGAACCAACACCACACCCCATCGGCGCGTTCACCAACAACGACCCGTTCAACCCGCGCCGCGACTACAACGACGACGACGACCAGGACTGGAACCTCCTAGTCCCGCTGCTTGAAAGTCCCCCGCACATACCAGACAAGCGGGTGGCGCCACTGAGAAAACTAGAACGAGAATGAATGCACTATGAAAGAGTTGGGTACAAGTACTAACCCTAATTGGGTTGTACCCCATATTGTCAAATCATAATGTTCTGTAGGCTGTAGTGGGGTAGCCTATATGGGGTACACATTTCTAGGGTTGCATATTTGTACCACATTCCATTCCTTAGTGCATTCATTCTCGTTTCAATTCTCACATGGTATCGAGCAGGTTCCCTCATGGGAACTGTGCCTAGGGCCCACCAAGTCGAAAGTTTTTTTTTTCCTGCCCGGAGCGCGCTCTGCCCGAGTCGCGCTCCCTTCTCTGACTTCGTCGAGCCGCCCTAGCGGCCAAGTCGCGCCGCCTTAGCGGCCCCTGATTCGTCGCCCTAGCGACCCCGTCGCCCTACCTACGACCCCGGCCCCGTCGCCCTTCCTGCGCCCCGGCCCCGTCGCCCTGCCTGCGCCTCGGCCCCGTCGCCCTACCTGCGACCCCGGCCCCGTCGCCCCCCCCCCTTGCGACCCTGGCCCCGTCGCCATACCTGCGGCCCCGGCCCTAGCCCCGTCGCCCTACCTGCGCCTCGGCCCCGGCCCCGTCGCCCTACCTGCGCACCGGCCCCGTCGCCCTACCGTCGACCCGGCCCCGTTGCCCTAAAGACGGCCCGGCCTCGTCGCCGTGCCTACGGCCCGGCCCCGTCGCCCTACCTTCGACCCGGCCCCGTCGCCCTACCTACGGCCCGGCCCCGGCCCCGTCACCCTACCTACGGCCTGGCCCCGGCCCCGTCGCCCTACCTTCGACCCGGCCCCGTTGCCCTACCTGCGCCCCGGCCCCGGCCCCGTCGCCCTACATGCGCACCGGCCCCGTCGCCCTACCTTCGACCCGGCCCCGTCGCCCTACCTACGGCCCCGCCCGAACCGCCTACGCAGCCAAGCCGCCCGCGCCGCTCAGCAGCCCGAGCCGCCCGTTCCGCCCGAGCCGCCCGAGCCGCCCGAGCCACCCGAGCCGCCCGAGCCGCCCAAGCCGCCCGAGCCGCCCGAGCCGCCCGAGCCGCCTGAGCAGCTAAGGAGCCGAGCCGCGGGTGCCGCCGAGCCGCAGTTGCTGCCGAGCCGCCCGAGCTGCCCGAACCGCCCTGTCTGGTGAGCGCAGCGCCTCTGTCACTGCACTGCCCCTGCTCTATAGTCAGCGCTCCTAGTCTACTGTTGTCATGGCTACCCCTAGTGTCCTCGCTTTTGACGCCGAGGGTCGAGCCATTGACATTGACGTCTGGGTAGATGACCTGCACCTGTTCTTATAGTGCGATAGGGCAGACGATCTCTCCCTCTTTGACCTCACCTCTGGTGCCTCTCCTGCCCCTGCTGCTAATGCAGACGCCACTGTTCGCTCACAGTGGGCCACGCGCGATGCTGCTGCACGTCTTGCTGTGCGTCGCCACCTGCCTACCTCTGAGTGTGCGCACTTTAGCCAGTACAAGAGTGCTCAGACCTTGTACGACGCTGTAGTTGCACGCTACTCCTCCCCTGCAACCACTGCACTAAGCCTTCTCATGCTACCGTACCTCTTCCCTGACCTTGCTGCCTTTCCCACAGTCACTGACCTCATTACGCACCTCCGCACTAGTGACACTCGCTACCGCGCTGTGCTTCCTGCTGACTTCTGCAACAAGAACCCCCCCCCCCCCCATGTACATCACTCTCTACTACATAGTCACTCGCCTCCCTGACTCCCTTCGCGTAGTCAAGGACCACTTCCTCTCAGTCTGTCCCACCACTCTCACTGTTGACCTCCTCGAGAAGTCCCTCCTAGCGGCCGAGAAGAGCATAGTCGCTGTAGGGGCCTCTCATGGTGACCCGCGCACCCCCATCTTTGAGGGGTGTTCCCCCTCCCCCCTTCTGCCCTCTGTTGCCTCTGCTGCTGCGGCCGACCTCCTTGGTCTTGAGTCGGTCGGTGCGGCGTCTGCCCTTAGCGGGAGACGCCGCTCTGGCAGGGGCAAGGGGGGCAGGGGCACTGGAGGAGCGAGCGGGGGCGGTGGAGGTGGAGGTGGAGGCGGCAGGGGGAGTGGGGATGGCGGTGGGAGTGGAGGTGGAGGTGGAGGTGTCGGTGGCGGCAGTGGAGGCGGAGGCGGCGGAGGCGGTGGCGGTGGGAGCGGAGGTGGTGGAGGTGGTGGCGGTGGAGGAGGCGGTGGAGGCGGCGGTAGTAGCGGAGGCGGCGGAGGCGGCGGAGGTGGCGGGGGTGGCGTTGGAGCTGGTCGCGGGTCTACCCAGAGGAGTGGCTCCGGTGGTGGTCCGCGCCAGCAGCAGCAGCGCGGTCGTGAGACCTTGTCCCCTAAGCAGCTCCGTGAGTGGTACACTGCACGCCAGCGAGGTGGGGGCTTTGGTCCGTGCACCTACGTCCTGCGCACCGGCGACCGTGCGGGTGAGCATTGTGGGGGTGCGCACCCCACCCTGCGCTGCTTTGGCCGCCTTACGGACGCGTGGCGTCACCAGTTCCCGGAGGCCACAGAGATCCCTCGCTGGGGCGAGCTGTCTAGGGCGGGAGTTGCCATCTATGATCTTGATTTTCATGCTATCCTTTCTGCCATGTATGCTGTGTCTATTAGTGATGAGGGTGACTGTTACCGGTGTTTCCCGCCCGACCCGGGCATTGAGACTGCTGCTCTAGGTGCTGGTGAGGCTGCTGCTCTAGGTGCCACTAAGGCTGCTGCTCTAGGTGCCAGTGCGTCTGCGTCCTCAGGTGCTGGTGAGTCTGCGCTCGCAGGTACCGCGTCGGCTTCGGCCTCCCTCACCTTCATACTTGACTCAGGGGCTTCTCGCTCCTTCTTTCAAGACCGCACCACACTCACGCCGCTTGGTCGGCCAGTTGCAGTCTCCCTGGCAGACCCCTCTGGGGGTCCTGTCCTTACTCACTTCTCCACTGACCTCCCGTGTCTGGCGGCCCCCTCTGGCACCTTGTCTGGTCTTTCCCTCCCCTCGTTCTCTACGAACTTGGTGAGTGGTGCTGACCTACAGGATGCGGGGGTTCACCAGTTTACTCCTGCGAGTCAGCGGGTGACTCACTGCTCGGACGCTCGCACAGGCCGGCACCTGGCCACGTTTACGCGTTTGCACTCTGACCGAGGCGGAGAGTTCTCCTCTGACCTTCTGCGAGCCTACTATCGTGCGCGAGGCATCCGCCAGACCTTTACGCTTCCGGACTCTCCACAGCAAAATGGGATTGCTGAGCGCCGCATTGGCATGGTCATGGACGTCGCCCGTACGTCCATGATGCATGCGGCTGCCCCCCATTTTCTATGGCCGTTTGCGGTTCGGTACGCGGCGCATTAGATCAACCTTCACCCCATGGTCTCCATGCCGGAGACCTCCCCAGCTTTGCTGTGGACGGGGAAGGTAGGCGACGCGTCTGCGTTCCGTGTCTGGGGATCTCGGGCGTTTGTCTGCGACTTGTCTGCGGACAAGCTGTCCCCTCGTGCTGCTCCTTGCGTCTTCCTTGGCTTCCCCCCCTGACGCGCCTGGGTGGCAGTTCTACCACCCCACCTCTCATCGTGTTCTGTCCTCCCAGGACGTCACGTTTGACGAGTCGGTCCCCTACTACCGCCTCTTCCCCTACCGCACTCCGTCCCTCCCCCCCGCCACCGCTCTTCCTTGTGCCAGGTCCCCCCCCGGTAGACCCCCTCCCCCCTCAGGGTCCTGCCCCTTCAGGTGTGTCCCAGGTAGACGCAGTCGAGGCTGTCGAGGTTACTGGTGACTCTGGTGCTGCAGAGGTTGCTGAGCCTGGGGGTGCTGACTCTGGGGGTGCTGAGCGTGTGGGTGCTACGCCTGGGGGTGCTGAGCCTGAGGGTGCTACTACTGGGGGTGCTGAGTCTGGGGGTGCTGAGCCTGGGGGTGCTACGCTTGGGGGTGCTGAGCCTGGGGGTGCTGAGCCTGGGGGTGCTACGCGTGGAGGTACTGAGCCTGGGGGTGCGGAGCCTGAGGGAGCTGGGCCTGCTAGTGCTGTGCCTGGCGGTTCTCCAGGTGCTTCGTCGTGCCGAGGGCCACTCTCTCCACCGGAGCTGCGTGAGTGGTTTGCCCGGCGCTGGAGGCGAGCTGCTGGAGCTGGAGGTGCTGCGGGTACTGGAGGTTCTATTGGTGCTGAGGAAGCTGGTGCCACGGGTCCCGGAGGTGCTCGAACTGGGAGTACTTGGGCTGCTGGGCCTGCGGGTACTTCTGGAGCTGGAGCTACTGCGGGTGTTGGCGCGGAGGCTCCTACTGTCGGTCCTGGAGGCGGTCTTGCTGGGGGTACTACTAGTGCTGCTGGAGGTACTGGAGCTGGAGCTGCTACTGGTGCTGGTGCTGCCACTGGGGGTGCTGGTGCTGTCCCTACTGTGTCTGGAGTCGCCGCGCGGCCTTGGCCGTACTTCGTTCCGCTCCTTCAGCAGGTTCTTGGTCTCCCGTCTTCTACTGGTCCTCCTCCTCCCTTAGAGTGTCCACAGCTTGTCCCGTCGCAGTTACAGTTATAGCCGGCCTCCCCACTGCCTGCTCCGTCTCCCTACACTGGTCCTACTGCAGGTCTTGCTGAGCGTCGTGAGCCTGCGTCTCGCCCTGCGTCGCCTGTCCGTGCTGCTCGCACTAGTGGTCGCTGTTCACGTCAGCGTCCTCCTCCTGTCCCTGGCACGCACCGGATGTCTCTGCGTTCGTCCACTTCTCCTCTCCGTGCCCCTTTGCCTTCTCCTCCTGAGTCTTCTCTTCCTGCTCTTGCCGACCCGGAGTCGGACTCTCTTCGTGCTGCCAGTCCTACTGTCACGCGTCTCCTTGCTACTGTCGTCACTAACCCTTCTTTTGAGTCCACTCCTGCGTCTGCCCTAGTTGCTGAGCTCGTCGACTTTGCTGCTCGCTGTCGTCTAGACTACGCTGCTAGTCTTGTCGCTGAGTCTGAGTCTATCTGTCCTTCGTCCGTCGGGGGTGAGTGTGCCCTTGGCACGGACGTCCTTGAGGACAGGCAGGAGGAGTTCCAGTGTCTGGCTGCTGCTTCACCTCATCTCGTGTCCGTACTGCTTACCCCTGAGGGAGACCCGGATGCACTTGACATCCCGACTCCGCGCTCTTACGCGGAGGCGATAGAGGGTCCCTACTCCTCTCAATGGCAGGCAGCTATGGATGCAGAGATGGCTTCCTGGAAGTCCACACACACCTACGTTGACGCGGTTCCCCCACCTGGGGCGAACATCGTCAGTGGCATGTGGATCTTCAGGGTGAAGGGGCCGCCGGGCTCTCCACCTGTCTTCAAGGCGCGGTACGTGGCTCGTGGCTTCAGTCAGCGGCAGGGAGTTGACTACTTTCAGACCTTCTCTCCCACCCCAAAGATGACCACTCTTCGGCTGCTGCTGCACATAGCCGCTCAGCGCGACTACGAGCTTCACTCTCTTGACTTCAGCACTGCTTTCTTGCAGGGTAGCCTGCACGAGGAGATCTGGCTGCGCCGCCCACCTGGCTTCACTGGGACTTTTCCTCCTGGCACTCAGTGGAGCCTCTGGCGGCCAGTCTACGGTCTCCGCCAGGCACCGCGTGAGTGGCACGACACACTGAGGACTACGCTTGCGGCTCTTGGGTTTGCTCCCTCTACTGCCGACCCGTCGCTGTTTCTGCGCACCGACACCTCTTTGCCGCCGTTCTACATCCTTGTATACGTCGACGACTTGGTCGTTGCCACTGCTGACACTGCTGGACTCGCCCATGTGAAGTCCGAGCTGCAGAAGAGACACACGTGCACAGACCTGGGTGAACTGCGCAGCTACCTTGGCTTGCAGATCACCCGGGACAGAGCACGCCGCACCATTACCCTGACTCAGTCACACATGGTGCAGCAGGTCCTTCAGCGCTTCGGCTTCACGTACTCCTCGCCTCAGGCCACTCCTCTGCCTACTCGCCACTCGCTCTCAGCTCTGCCTTTGGATGAGTCCGTAGAGTCGAGTGGCCCGTACCCAGAGCTTATTGGCTGCCTCATGTACCTGATGACCTGCACACGACATGACCTTGCATACCCTCTTAGCATTCTTGCACGCTATGTTGCTCCTGGGAGACACAGACCGGAGCACATGGCTGCAGCGAAGAGGGTGTTGCGCTACTTGTGCAGTACGTCGGGCATGGGGCTAGTGCTTGGAGGGCGGAGTCCAGTGGTCCTCACTGGGCACGCAGACGCTTCTTGGGCTGACGACCAGGCTACACAGCGGTCGTCATAGGGTTACACCTTCAGCCTTGGTTCCGGCTCTGTTTCGTGGAGGGCTACTCGCTCGTCTTCCGTTCTCGGCTCCAGTTGTGAGGCTGAGATCTACGCAGGAGCCATGGCTGCTCAGGAGCTTCGCTGGCTCACCTACCTACTGACTGACCTCGGAGAGCCGCCTCGTTCTCCTCCAGTGCTGTACGTAGACAACAAGGCCATGCTGGCCTTGTGTCGGGAGCAGCGCCTGGAGCACAGAACGAAGCACATTTCTCTCCGCTACTTTCTTGCTCATGAGCTGCAGCAGCGTGGTCAGTTGCGACTTGCGTACGTGGCCTTTGAGGCCAACACTGCTGATATCTTCACTAAGGCACTTGCGCCTTGTGATCATCAGCGCTTCTGTACTCAGCTTGGTCTTGTGCTTGCCTTGCCTCACTTGCTCACTTCTTGACCTTGCTTGTACTGTCACATTTATATACTCCTGCACTTGCTTGTTTAGCCTTTTGTATATATATATGTGTACTCGTGCATGTGAACTGGCCTTCTGGCCTTGAACTTGTGCTCGGAATGTGTGGTGACTTTGTGATCCACCCTGAGCTTTGTTTTGTTTTGCTTGACTGGTCTTGTGACCCCTTGTTCTCCCCCACTTTGCCTATGGGGGTGTGTTTAATCATAATGTTCTGTAGGCTGTAGTGGGGTAGCCTATATAGGGTACACATTTCTAGGGTTGCATATTTGTACCACATTCCATTCCTTAGTGCATTCATTCTCGTTTCAATTCTCACACATATGGGCTACCCCACTACAGCCTACACAAAAGCATAAGCTATAATGTTCTGACACACCCCCATAGGCAAAGTGGGGGAGTACAAGGGGTCACAAGACCAGACAAGCAAAGCAAAGCAAAGCAAGCTCAGGGTGGATCACAAAGTCACCACACATTCCGAGCACAAGGTCAAGGCCACAAGGCCAGTTCACATGCAGGAGTACATATACATATAAAAGGCTAGACAAGCAAGAGCAGGTGTATACATATATGTAACAGTACAAGCAAGGTCAAGAGGTGAGCAAGTCAGGCAAAGCAGGCACAAGACCCAGCTGAGTACAGAAGCGCCGATGATCACAAGGCGCAAGCGCCTTGGTGAAGATATCAGCAGTGTTGGCCTCAGAGGCCACGTACGCAAGACGCAGCTGACCACGCTGCTGCAGTGTCAATAGGCTAGGAAGGCTTAGGAGCCATAGCTAGTGAGGTAGGAGAAATTGAGTTCCAGTGAGTTTAGGAAAGTCGAGAGGAATGGGGTTTCAATAATGAGATTGGCAAGTACAAATAGGTAAACAGCAACACAAGGAGGTGCACCACCAAACATGATGCAATATGTACACTACAACTGCAAACGATTATAAAAAATATGTAACCATATTTTGACATGCAGCTCATGAGCAAGGAAGTAGCGAAGAGCAATGTGCTTCGTTCTGTGCTCAAGTCTCTGCTCTCGACACAAGGCCAGCATGGCCTTATTGTCTACGTACAGCACTGGAGGAGAACGAGGCGGCTCTCCGAGGTCAGTCAGCAGGTAGGTGAGCCAGCGAAGCTCCTGTGCAGCCATGGCCTCGGCGTAGATCTCAGCCTCACAACTGGAGCTGAGAACAGAAGACGAGCGGGTAGCCCGCCACGAAACAGAGCCGGAACCAAGGCTGAAGGTGTAACCCTGTGACGACCGCTGCGTAGCCTGGTCATCAGCCCAAGAAGCGTCTGCGTGCCCAGTGAGGACCACTGGACTCTGCCCTCCAAGCACAAGCCCCATGCCTGACGTATTGCACAAGTAGCGCAACACCCTCTTCGCTGTAGCCATGTGCTCCGGTCTGTGTCTCCCAGGAGCAACATAGTGTGCGAGAATGCTAAGAGGGTATGCAAGGTCAGGTCGAGTGCAGGTCATCAGGTACATGAGGCAGCCAACAAGCTCTGGGTACGGGCCACTCGACTCTACGGACTCATCCGAAGGCAGAGCTGAGAGCGAGTGGCGAGTAGGCAGAGGAGTGGCCAAAGGCGAGGAGTACATGAAGCTGAAGCGCAGAAGGACCTGCTGCACCATGTGTGACTGAGTCAGGATAATGGTGCGGCGTGCTCTGTCCCGGGTGATCTGCAAGCCAAGGTAGCTGCGCAGTTCACCCAGGTCTGTGCACGTGTGTCTCTTCTGCAGCTCGGACTTCACGTGGGCGAGTCCAGCAGTGTCAGCAGTGGCAAAGGCCAAGTCGTCGACGTACACGAGGATGTAGAACGGCGGCAAAGAAGTGTCGGTGCGCAGAAACAGCGACGGGTCGGCAGTAGAGGGAGCAAACCCAAGAGCCGCAAGCGTAGTCCTCAATGTGTCGTGCCACTCACGCGGTGCCTGGCGGAGACCGTAGACTGGCCGCCGGAGGCTCCACTGGGTGCCAGGAGGAAAAGTCCCAGCGAAGCCAAGTGGGCGGCGCAGCCAGATCTCCTCGTGCAGGCTACCCTGCAAGAAAGCAGTGCTGAAGT